TTTCCAACATGTGTAGGAATAGAAACGAAGTCTCTATTAATTCAGGAGTAATCGACAGATAGTATTCTCAGGAGTAATCGACAGATAGTATTTTTGAAGGTAATTTTAAAATAATAAGACTTAGTTCTAATTCTTGTTCTTAATGAAACTGGGGTGGGTTTCTCTACTATGCTCGGGATTTCATCCGTGTGGACATAATTTAATAAAAACTCCGTGTGGAATATTGACTTTGGATAGTTCTTCGTAAGTCCGCCCTCGTAGATGATCGTAATGATATTATGTAGCTTTTATTTTGACCCGACCTATTAGCAATATTCATGTAATATTTGAAGTACACCTATGCAGTACTTTTTTAATTTAGCCCGGACACACGTTTACATACAGATAAACATTTAAACGGACAAACATTCTATCTCTAAAATCTATTAGCTCAAGGATTGTTTAAAAAAATATTCAATGTACAATTATAGGTATACAATAGGTAGGCTTTAAATATGAAATTGTTGCTTTGTATGAAAAAATTGAAACTATTTTTTTATGTATTTTTTATTTGTCTTAATCTAATTAATCACCCATGCAATCAATGCATCTTTGCCAATGTAGTGGTAGTTTATTGATGCCCTTCTTAAAGAAATCAGGTGACGGGAGGCAACTAATTCTTCAAAGACATTTTGTACTGCCTCTCGGGTGTTTTAGTTATCTAAATTTTGGAAAAATTGTCGCGCGTTGTCGTCCACGAGCAGCGGAGACAAACGATTGACCAATACTGTTTGGAGATATCCCAGCTTCTCCATCATTATTTTCAGTTCTTCACAGTACACATCTGCAGTAATGCTCACCCCGTTTACTAAAAAACTGTGATGAATTACACCGAACGAAGTCGACCAAAGTCTTTGGACGACCGCGAGGTTCATTTTTCAGGTCGAAATTTCCAGAACCGAAGTGAGCACCGTACCAGTGAATAACAGGTGGTGCATTTGTTTGTATTGTAATCATTGTAAACGTCATTGATTACGTGCTGCTCGGGCCGCGTTGCTGTCACGACATTACTCATATTCCATAATTACTCTAATTTTTAAGATTTTGGCTCCAATCTTGACACGTCTGTTTCGCCTATCTTTGGAGACTGGTCAAGTGCCGAATGTGTGGAAGCTGGTCAACGTGCAACCTGTGCCTAAAAAGGCAGCCGTGCCGACCCTAACAACTGCATACCTATCTCGGTCACGTCATATTCTGTAAGAGTATGAGTATACTAAATGATAAGCACATGGCATACCTTGAAGGTAATGATCTACTTACTGATCAGTAATATGGCTGCTCATCCGATCAACTTAGTATTAACGCTGGGGTTAGTACTCTCAGCAACATTTTTTTTTGCTGCACAGCAATGACCTGCTCAAGCCCCGTACCTTTGGGTACGCAGATAACAGCACTATTGTTGAGAGGCATGTATCCGAAGCGCGAACCAGTGCAACTGAACCTGTCCTTGCAGGTGGTTTCCGATTGGGGTGATGCCTACCTGGCGGCTTACTCTTGAATCCAATTCCGATCGATTGACATTGGTATTGTGAAATTTCGTACTCTTGAGTTGCAACACTAGCGTCCATTGCATCCGCATTGCGTGGATATTGAATGAACTAAATGGTATTGAGTTTGGCTTTACATTCCGTACTCTGAATGCTATTTTAATATCTACGATAGGGGTTGTATAGTTTTGACATTGAATAATTATTGAGATTTCATTGGATTGAAATTGCATTGACATTGAGATTGACTTCGAGAGTAAGCACCCTGGTCAGGTTCAATGCCAATAAACCGTGGCGTGTCTATTCTCCGCAAAACGGGGTCGGTTTCCGCTGGCTCCTACTTTCCGAAATGAGTCCGTTCCGATAGGTAACCCTGACCATCTCGAGCTTCTCGGTGTAACACTGACGTCTACTGTACTTTGGCCCGTATATTGAGCCGAATGCGCAAATGGCTGGTAGAAAGTTGGGTGTCCTGTCGAGGGTGAGACGGTACTTCACACCGGAGCAGCTGCTCATTCTTTACCAAGCACAAGTTCGGTTATGTATGGAGTACTTACTGCTCTCATCTTTGGGATGGCTCGACCAAAAACCGGCTGGATGTCCTTGAATCCACCGAGAGGCGCGCCAAGAGGGTCATCAATGACGTTTCGCTTGGAGGCCCGGCTTCAAAGCCTGGAAGCGCAAAGTCGCAAGCCTTGCGGTTTTCAATCGGATACATTGCGGTGACTGTGCGTGGGAATTATTCTCCCACGTCCGTTTCACCACCGTACTACCAGATGAAAGCGTTTCGTACGGGCCCTTTTATGGTGGACATTCCACCCATTTGCACGAAGCGCTTTTTATCAAGTTTCCTTATGCGAACCGCAAGGAATGGAATTCCTTGCCGGAATCTGTGTTTCCCGAAAAATAAGACTTGGGTGTCTTCAAGTCCCGAGTGAACAGGTTACACATAGGTAGGCGTGCTCCATCATCGGCCACATCATCGCTTATTACCAGGCAAGATGGTGGCCAAACGTCGACCTATCAAGTATAAAAAAATCCCTGGTATGCGCGATGAGTAAATACAGCTGTTTTGTCCCAGTTAATCTTCTCTTAGTGTTGACATACACTCTCCTAGGAATATACGGTTTCAAGTTTTTAATATTAACAGAACAATTTTTCAACAAAAATTTAAGAAACAAAATCGAACATCCTGTATGCACTCGGGCAATTTCTAAGAATAGGCTTCATACTCAGCGCGCCAACAACACCTATGGCGAACGAACTTATTAATAGCCTACCTTCAGAAAAAAAAATATTACGCAAAAAAACATAAAATGTAAACTAAAGCAATATTACTTATGTATTATATAGGAATGTGTTTGTTTATTCTAAGTTGTTTATTCACGTATAAATTTGTAAAACCTCATTTTATAAAAATTAGATTTTGTGATTGATTCATGCTTGATATCACAAGTTTAAACTTAGTGCATTTTGGTCGCTATTTTAAATGGATAATCCTGTACTTATTGTAAATATGATAAATAAATAAAAAAAATGTTGTGAACTAAGTACGAAAATCCGCCATTGTTCTTTACATTGCTAATATGCGTATGCAGGCGCAATTAAATGTTATCGTAACTTAAACAATGCTAATAGCAATCAATTGTGAAGTGTAGATATACTTATTGCTATAGCAAAGAAGAACGAGCGGATTTGGTCTTAACTCGTCGAGTACCGGTTTTATAGACACAATTAAAGAACAATAGGTCGCGGTCACCGGTGACCGCTTGGTGTTTGACAGTTTAACGGTGTCGGCTGATGAAATTTAGATAATTCATAAATTGGCTCGTGAACGAAGAATTATTTTTTTCTTATACTGTGGACACAATTAAATTGGTCTACGGAGAAAAACATTTCGAACTTATAATTAGAAATTACAAGCCCAGGTTTTTCCTCAGTACGTTTTCCTTCACCGTTTGTTAGTGGAATACGGAAATATTGTTAACAAACTATTGAAAAAAGCTAGCTTTAGTTCAGTTTATCGATACCCGGGTCAGGCGGCGTATGATTGTAATTATTTCGATTATATAAAAGTTTGTGTGTATTATGCTTATTACCTATAATACATTAATAAATAAAACATTTTTAATAAAAAATAAATATATGTTTGTAAAAATAAAATATATTATCGGTGATTGTAATTTAAAATATTATTTAAAAATAGAGTTCCTTTAAGGGCTTATTTTTTCCTGCATGTGTGTCGATTTGTTGTATTGGTTAGTGTTAGGTCATAATCATCATCAATAAGAGCCTATAAATGACCAATGCTGTGGAAACGTTTCTTCTTACAAGGTTAAAAAAATAATACCTAACCACGCTTTATCAAGATGGGTTTGGCAATTTCAAACTGATTATTAGATTATTATAAGTCCAGGCTTCCTCACGATGTTTTTGTTTCATGAGTCTATAAAAGGTTTACGAGTTAGTGCGATTAATCTTTCATAGATGGCGCCACTGTGAACAGTTAGTTGTAACAATATTTATATACACTGATGGTGCACATTACTAAAATAATAAAATTAGGAAATGCAACAAAAAATTTACAAAATATGTATATGTCTTTTTTATAAATTAAATCAATGCGACGACATTTTTCTAAACCGAAAGGATCAATCACCTTTTTATTAAAATCGGGTATTGTTTGTATGAATTTATTATCAATATAACAATAATTAGCACGTCACACATACAGTAAAACTATACAGATAGTCTGGTAACGAGATGTCAGTCATTGCTGCCGTCGCCTTGCGCCCTTACCGGCCGGTCAATTCGTCAAACATCGGGTGCTCTAGGCAATCCTCGATTCGCTCGTGCGGCGTTCTAACCGACTACTACTATATACTACTCGGTAAATTTTTATGAACGATCTTTGGTCTCACGCGTCAGGCGTGTTAACTCGTATCTCCTGCAAGTTATATTAGCAGACCTCGTGCACTCGCCGCAGTGCACAAGACTTTGTCTTTATAGGAAAATAAGTCTTAATATTTTATTAAAGCGTTCAAACTGTTTCACCATAATTAGAGATTATTTTTTTTATACGTTTTTGTATATTTAAAAATAAAAAAATAAATAATTGGTAATGTAAAAATAAAGATTATTCAATATTTTGTAATTTTTAAATCTTTTGAATAAGGTATATGACTAATTTTTATTTTAATGTCCTTCTGGTAGATTATTTTAAAAAATTACACACGTATTTTTTATTTTTTAAAGAAATGAATACTTTCGCCGATATATTGATTTGAAATGTCGCATGACGTCACTTCTATGTATATTTTATACGTAGAATGACGTTTTAGCCCCTACTCCTAAACTTTAAATCGTTATATCTAAGTATCATTTTATGTATGTACAACAAACTAAAAAAAATACGTTTCTAATATTTTTTCATTCTCTAACTGACGGATTAACTAGATTTTTAATTTTCATATCCTGTCATCTTCCCTATTGGTGGTTCAGCGGTATGTCAGACGCTACCTTACGCTGGTATTTTGTGAGTCATAGAAAGTCTGTGAGTGAGACAGTCAATTAAAAAACAACTCTTAAAATATATATTGTGTGATTTCGATCTTTCATACGTACAGTCAGTATCGCAAGTTCAAATTGCACAATTATCCTAATAATAGTGGCGCGACATGTTCTGTAAAGTAAATATTATTACATAATATACAAAAGGTGGTGTTTTGAAGTACCTACAGTCACCAAGTTATCTTGAAAATCTTAGGAAAATGAATAACATAGTTTAAAAAAATATTAACACTATTTAATTATAATATACTTATACTCCTCCTTATCGGGCAAAATCGACATATTTTTTTATTTCTTATTCCATCATCAAACCTACCAAAGTTTGGTAGTTATCTAATCCACATACAATTGCCAAGTTTTATGATGATAGGTACATTTAGAGGTGTGTGTTATTTCAATTACTAGATTTTGTTACAATGTTCCGTCACTGATCGACCTAATAGAGGTGTGTTATTAAAAAGGTTGACACTACTTAGACAGTAGCTTTTTAACGAAACCAACTCTTCTCCTCCTTTTTTTGCAGTCGATAAAAAGAGTTTACATATGCACAGAATCGAATTGCGTGTCAGTAGACAATTCAATATACTAATATACTAACTATACAACGCCTTTAGTATCACTAAAATTATATGCTTTGGAAGTACACATTAAGCCTTTACTAGAACAATTAAAGATCCAGATAATAACGACAATGCCGACTAAAACAACAACAGAACTTACAACTATGATTGCTATTATGAATCCGCTCAACTTTGGATTATCGGCAATCTCAGGGTTTTCAGTAGTAGATACCGAAGTAGTTCCCGGTGCAGTGGTAGATTGATCTGAAGGAAGTGTCGTAGTTTCTCCCTGTGTTAGTCTTGTAGTTTCTGATGTGGAATCTATCGTAGTGGATGTGGTGTCTGTGATGGAGTTTATTGAAGAAGATGTAGTCTCTGTAGTATAATCTGGTGGTGAAGATGTGGGTTCCTGTACCATAGTAGATAGTGAAGTGGTTGGTTCTTCTGTGGACGTTGATGAAACAGTTGTTGGCTCTTGTGTGGTAGTGGATGAAACAGTGGTTGGATCTTCTGTGTTCGTTGATGAAATAGTTGTTGGCTGTTGTGTGGTAGTGGATGAAACAGTGGTTGGTTGTTCTGTGGTCGTTGATGAAACGGTTGTTGGCTCTTCTGTGGTCGTTGATGAAACGGTTGTTGGTTCTTCTGTGGTCGTTGATGAAACAGTCGTTGGGTCTTCTGTGGTCGTTGATGAAACAGTTGTTGGCTCTTCTGTCGTAGTAGTTGCTGCAGTTGACGGAGTTGGAAATGATACTGTAGGCAAAGTAATCCCAGATACTCCGTTAAATGGAGATAAAGTAAAATGATTGTTATCATTGCTATTTATAGCATCTTCCAATGGATCATCTAGTAAGACGTAGACAGTTTCAACCAAAATGTTTGATGTCAATGTAGTTCGCGCTATGATGACCACCTGTGACAGACAATAGTTTATTTAATTATTGCGTTACATTTTCAAAATAACATTCTGATTTATAGAATTTTAATACAATGTCTCTACGAATACCTCGATTTTCGATCGATTTATTGTCATGTACAGTGCCTAAATAATTATTTAGTACACAACGTAGTACTTGTCTACTAATCGTCGTGGTGGCCCGGAGGTTTAAGACGCCCACTTCTCATGCATGAGGGTGCGGGTTCGAAACCTACCAACGGCAAGTACCAATGTGACTTTTTCCGAGTTATATGTACTTTCTAAGATTATTTAGACACCACTGACAAACGGTGAAGGAAAAACATCGTGAGGAAACCTGGATTTATAATTTCTAATTATAAGTTTGAAATCGCCAACCCACATTGAGCAAGCGTGGTGATTAAGGCTCTAACCTTCTCCGTGTGAGAAGAGGCTTTGCTCAGCAGTGGGCATTTATAGGCTGTTGATAAACGTAGTACTTAATTTAATGGTTGTTAATATTTGTACAATTGTATACAGTGTGTTAATTTAAACGAGGGACATATTCAAACCCTTAATAGTGTATACTTATATGATACTAATAAAGACATGAGCAAAAAAAAAACACTGATAAATAACAGACAGAACCATACCAAAGTTTTCGCAAAAGTCTCGCAACGTGTGTACACCGAGACGATGTCCGCGGGAGATGGCAATGACTTTTGGTTGTTGGCTTTCTTTTGTGTTGTTGCGTGTGTTTGCGTGATTTGGCACGTGTCTTGAAGCGTGAGTTTTACAGTGTTCATGAGTAATGTATTTTATGGGACAATTCCGTCAAATATTAAGGTTATAAGTTTTATACATTTTTGAGACGAGAATCGAATACTGAATACCCTCCTTCAATAAGTCCCTCGTTTAAATTAACGTACTGTATAATGTGAATTTGTTGTATCCATACGAATATACATAGTTTAAACTTTGTTCTTAGTTTTTTGGTCTTATTTATTATTTTGTTTGACAGGAAATCGGTCATCATCTATATTTATTTACTCAATTCTAAAAATTAAAAAAATTAAATATCATTATGCTTAATTATATTACAGGAAAAGTTTAATACTTACATAGCCTGTCATTTTGGTAACTCGCATTTGTAGTGTGTGATGTACACTTTTACTGTCATTTTTTGAAACAGTGATGTCGACTTTATCTGCTATCTCGTCGTTTTCTTCGAATACCAGTAGAGAGATTGTATCATTATCTGAGGTTGATTCAACGAAAATGTTTGCTTCTAATAATCCAGATGGTATTTGAACCACATCCGAAGCCACACAATTTAATTTTCCACTGTAATTAACTTTATCACTGTATCCACTTGTATAATTTTGTGACACTGCAGCTATAATACATCCTGATTGTTGCTTAAAATTAAACGATACATACTGTTTTAATTGATGCCCAAAACTAAAACTAAAAACACAAAAAAACAAAACCAGGCGTCGCTTAATCATTTTGCTGGTTTAAGTTAAATAACAAACTTTTCTGTTAAATACTATAATTATCACAAAGTGTGATAAAATCTTAATATCATAATTAAAGCTTGATGTTATTTGATAATGTTAATTGGTATTATTAGCGGCGGAACTCTATGAAAAAACAATCAAGATTGACAAACCGATGCTAAAGCTGTGTTTATATTAATATGCATCTACTTTTAGCTCACAAGTAGTCAAATGCAGGAAATGGTTTATTTCTTTGCGTGGTTTAAAATAACCAAATTTTTTCTTTGATATGCCTAGTTCGGCGAAAGGTCGCAAGCTACTGCCGAAAAAGACTCGGACTTACCACATACTTTTTTATTTAACTTTTCGGTATTTAAAAATTATAATGTTACGTTTATGTAAATTGTCTGCTATAAATTGTTAACAATAACAGCCCAGTCAATTATAGTGACGCCACGGCTTCACTAAAAACCGACACGACGTGAAACAACGCAAGCGTTGTTTCACGTCGTGTGAGTGAGGTTACCGGAGGCCCAATTATTCTCAAATTCCTAATCCACAAAATGCCGGTAAAGTACTTGTAACGCCTCTCGTGTTCCAGGTATCCACGGGCGACGCCGACTGCTTACGTTTATCGGCTTGTCCCATAAAAAAAATAAGATCACACGTAGCAGGTACTTTACATTAAATCATAGGGCACACAATATTGTATCGGTCTTATTTATATTTTTCTCTTTTTGTGTATTTTTGTTATTTTAACTTAATTAAATTCATTCATAAATTTTACCTTGTAGCCGCTACCTAAGTTCTCTAATGTACAAAAAGGTGAAATCTGTTAAGAGCCAGTTGCTGCTAAATTTTTCATTGAAGAAATATTTGATAATCATTTCGATATTATCGTAGTTCTTCGAATCACTTATATTTATGGCCGGTTTTGTACAAAGGTTAATATTGCACATATTTGTGATATCTATAATTACGTTAAGATAATGCATGAGAGTTCATGGGCCGTACTATATTTATGTTTTTGGAAGGTGCAACAACAATAAATAACTAAATCATAAAATTTGTGTGGGTATTGGGTATGTTTTAATCCCTGATGGTATAATGTATTATTTCACATCCTGCGATAATGTTTCAGTGGTTTCAAACTACCTACATAAAAATCAAGACCTTGTGTTTTTGCTTAAAATTAATAGATTGCGTAAACGAAGTTTTTAAAAATATCAGCAATTAAAATGCATAGATAAACAATCAATCATGATATATCACATATCGCTATCAACTGATCAGCGCGGTAGCATAAAATAAAATATAGTGGCTATTATCGCTAACAAAATGCAGAAATTGTGCGCTGTAAAAATATGTTAGTTTCCAAGTGAACATATGTACCATTTAGCGAAATATTTTGTGTCGTTCTAGGTAGTTTACCTTAATTTTGTTTATTTCTAATATTTACAGTTGAACAGTTATTAACTCATATGAATATAGTTTTTTACACAATCTGGATTTTTTTTTAAAGTAATTATATGGCCGATGTTGTGAGAACGGTTAAGTTTGGGATATGGGGTTTCTTAGTCAAATCCGTCAGGAAAATACTATAGAGGTACATACTATCACCTTTTCAAGGATTTAGGTCGACTTAACCTGTAACCCTGTGTAGTCATATATATAATCAAATATGTAGGTAATGATTAAAATTAGGTAGGTAAAGATAATTAAATAGTTTTAAGTAAATTGTGTAAAGTATGTATTAATTATAATTATTTTTTAAAGGATTTATTCTTTCAATAACATGAAAAATAAAGATTTCGAATATAAAATAAAAGGAAATTGCAATATATTCAAATACCATCGAATGCTTTCACAGCAAAACAGTGAATACGACACTCTGGGGACGCGACACAACTTTTTAAATAAATATAGACGAATAAATAATATCGGTGAGCGGCGATGCTTGGGGAGTTGAAGGGAATATTTCATACTACTTTTATTTAAACAATACCTCAAAATATATTCTTATATAGTGTTAAGTTGTACGCAGGTTTCTAAAGACATAAGTAGGTATTAGTACCTACTTTCATGTGCACATCATCATCAACAGCCTATAAATGCCCACTGCTGAGCAAGCCCTCTTCTCATACGGAGAAAGTTTGAGCATTAATCACCACGCTTGCTCAATGTGGGTTGGCGATTCCAAACTTATAATTAGAAATAACAAGCCCTGGTTTCTTCACGATGTTTTCCTTCACCCTTTGTCAGTGGTGTCTAGATAATCTTAGATAGTACATATAACTCGGAAAAAGTCATATTGGAATATGTATCTGGGTAGTGTAAAACAGACTTTTTTTTAAAAGAGTAACGAATGGAGTTTCTTGCTCGTTCTTCTCCAGTCGAATCGACATTTTGGAACGAGCGCCTAGCTTCACTGACGGACAGACTGACAGACTATTATTTATATCAAATTGGTAGACGTTTCAAAAGTATCAAATTATGGTTTAATTGAAATAAATGCTTTTGAGTTTGATTTTGAGTTTGGTAGATACTTGCCCTTGGTAGGTTTTGAACCCTTCAAAACCTCATGCACAAGAAGCAATATTCATTTCATTTGCACACAATGGCACAGTTGATATACACTATTTTTGATATTTTACATTATCTATCTATATATAACTTCAGGTGTATGGAGCTTGGGTTGGAGGTATTTGAGGAGGTCCTTGTATTTTACAATTTCATTTAATTTCTTGGGGTGTTAAGGTCTCTCCTGCAATAATTATAAAAATACTTATGTTAATATGAACCAATACTTTACTTTTCACATATTATCGAAGTTTATGTAAGGGAACTCCTTATGCGATATGAATACAAAATTATTTTGATATACAGCTACCTACATCAAGTGTAGTAGTATCTTCAGACGTTTAAATTATAAATCTATTTATATACAACCGACCTTAACACAGGCTATACAATTATATATATATAGAGGTATATTTTATACCACATTTAACCATAAACCATACAATAACACAATGGTTTTTGAATAACAAGAATAGTCATTTTCTTTTAGATTTGTAAATTAACTAACCTAACCGTTTAGAGTTACCTAGACTTTTTTTTTGCTTTACGTAAAGAAACAATATAATATGCTATTATATTTTTGAGAATTTACTAAACTAACATAGCTATTGTTATATGCTTCTGCAGTTCTGCCAGAGGGTTCGCCCGCGATCTCAGGGATAAAATGCCTATGTATTACTTCAGACCATAATCTACCTCTGTTCCGAATTTCATTCCGGTCCCTACAGTCGTTTTAATATGACTGAGTAACAAACATACACACAAACACATAAACTCATATTTTCACTTTTATAATATCGGTTCAAGCTAATTTCAACCATCGGCCTCACAGTTACAGCGTAAAGTACCTCCACTGTGGGTAACCTAATATTCGACAAACTTATACATATTTACGTTTGGTGCAGTAAGTGTACCTAGGGATTGAGCCGCACATTTAAGTTTGTGTATATAATTTTTTTGGATTAGGTGATAACGTTAACTTTATTAATTATGGATGAGCGAGAGTATTATTATAAGAGTAAACAAATATAAGCAGAAAACTCCAAACTGCTAAGCAATCGGGAGTTACACGTGTTATTGCGAGTCAATCATAAAAGATAGACATTATGCTGTTGTGCGATATCTTGTAGATAATTTTATGTAGAACATTTCCGTCATACATGACTTCTAGGTAGCTTTAACTAATAAAGCTTCACACGCGACGGAAGCTTAAAAAATGGAGTAACTTCAACCGTTTTCCCAACATTTCCCTTCACTGCTCTGCTCCTATTGATTGTAGCGTGATGTAACGTATACTATAACCTCCCCAGGAGTATGTAAAATAATAATATAATATAAATTTAAATTCGTTAAAATCCGCCGAGTAGTTTTTGTTTCCATAAGGATATACAGACGGATAGACAGACATAAGTTTTACTGATTGCATTTTTGGCATTGTATCGATCACTAATCGCCACTTGATAGTTATTTTGGAAATATATTTCATGTATAGAATTGACCGCTCTACAGATTTATTGTAAGTATAAAGGGCATTGACTAAAATTGGTGCCTTTCTTTTTTCTGGCGGCAGTCGATGATTTATGGAAAATATTATCTAGAATGTCATTACAAATGAAATTGTCTATGGGCTCATATATGGAAATCTCAGTCTGGACTGAGTTATGAGCGTTGAAAGAAGCTGGAATAAAACATTTTACTTTCGTTTTTTTATTCAAATTATTCATATTTTTGTCACAGTTCTAACTTCAAATTGCGCGCCACTGTACGCCGGGCACAGAAACACCAAATTACACCACAATATATCCATATTGCCAGTCGCAAATTTTTATTAGCTATTTTTTCTCAGTCGATAACTTGTAGGATGCTTCTAGGAGTTGTGTCATGAAGCTTCAAGAGTGTCAGCTGTGGTACCATTGGTGGGTTGAGTAGTTGTAGCAGTCCAAACATCTAATAAAGTATTTTTTTGCCGTTGACTTCTGGTGGGAGACTCATCTACTTTGTAGTTAGCATAATCTTTTGAAGAAAGCAAACCGTCGACTTTGTAAAGTGATGGACTATACGTCAGATGAGCACATAATTTTTTCATATAATGTGATCATTCGAAATGCATTACTTTGTGACTGAATGACGATGTCTTTGTACAGAATCTTATGCTAGATGTAGATTAAAGTATTAACTGTAGTTAGATTAGGTACTAATCGGAAGTAAGTCGGGAGAAGTAGACAGAAAAATGTTTTTTTCGTGTTTTGACGACAGTTACTACTCAATCCGCTACCGACGCCGCAGCTGACAAACATAGCATTTCATGATAGGGCTCAGTAAAGTATTTTGCGGGTTTTTGACTGAGAGGAAATTAATAATGAAAATCTGTCATGGGCCATAAACCTTATATATATATATATATAAATATATATAAATTGAACACTGCCACTCAAACGAAACGTTTTGTTTTTCTTCGGCAGTGGTCAGTTAATGGTTCACTCTGTTATGATTCCGTGGCCTTATAACGAAAAAAAAGAAAAAAAGACCTAACAAACAAAAAAAATATTATAAAAGTCCACAATAAGCTTTATTATATTCCTTGAAATCGTCTATAAACATTTATTACAAAATACGATCTGACAAGTAAATGAAGAAATATGCGTTGTGTACGGTCACCACTAACAAAATCACAGGAATTATATAGCACAATTTCACATCTTTGAACTGATTTAACTCGGTTTGGACTGTGTTTTTGATATAAGACCCCATATATTTTTTTGTTTGTA